CGGGCATCAGCGGGGCGCGCTAGATGCAAATTGGGCCGCATTGCACGGGGGGAGAGGAGGAGACCCAGCTTGCACACAAACACCCCACCTGCCACACAAAGAGATGGAGGGAGAAGCCCAAGCTCGATCGACGCGGCCCGAGGCAGCGCTCGCGCGCGCGGGCGCGGCGCCCGGCAGGGCGCAGAAGGCTCCGCGTGCGCGACCGCGGTGCGGGAGAAGCGGCCGCCGCCCTCCCGCAGCGCGAAGGGGCGGTCCAGCGCCTGCGGGGCGCGTGGGGCCGCCGGCCGCCCACTTTTCTTGCACCGAGAAACTGGTGCCCCCAAGCATGCTCGCGTCCGGAAAGCGTCAGGACGGGAGGCCTTTGGCCGTTTTGGGCCTCTGGAGGCCTTACAGGGGCCCAGCACCGTCGAAAGACTGCCCAGGATGGGAAACTCGTCCCGGGGAGAGGGTGGAGATTTCGGGAGAACCCGTGCTGAAACAAGGAAGGCATCGCATGGCATAGCTCGAAGCAGAAGCCATCGCCTCAAGAACGAAAACGAATCCTGGACTATCCGACCTGATATCCTTTGAGCTCCAAGTTTGCCTTCGGCTGGCCCAAAAGTGCACATCGGGAGGCAGACTCCCTCTGTACAACTTTGGGGGCAACCCTGCTGGCTTCGATCCCTTCCTCGTCGCTGTCGCCGCCTCCGCTCCCCTCCTCCGCCTTCCCCTGGTCCGACGCCTGGACCTTCCAAGCTCTGGACGCCCGAAATGGGTACGAAAAGAATGGGCACGATGCCCAACAGCAGTTCCTGTTCATTTTGGACAGGAATCGCTGTCCGCGCTTCCGCGGCCTGTGTCCATCCGAGACAGGAGGCCGCCCGCCCAACAGCGGCCGCTGTTGGTCTGGGACAACATTTGTTGTTTGGCAGTGTACCCATTCTTTCCGTACCCATTTCGGGCGTCCAGACAAGCGCGCGGCCCCCTCTCTCAGCCCCCTCCCCGGCTCAGCGCCCTCTCCTCCCCGGGCGGCCCTGTGTGCACAACACCCACGGGGCACGGGGCGCCCGAAGGAAACACGCCCGCTCCCGGAGGCCGAACAGAACGGCGGCAGACCTCCGACCAGCTCTTTTTTCAAAACGCTACCATGTGAGGCATCCCGGTTTTGTCCTCCAATTCCTCTACCTCCTCTGTCTCGCTTTTCGCATTTTTTCGCAGAGTTGCCAATCGCGCGCTCTTCTGCCCACGCGTCCCTCTGGATGCTCGGCTTAGTGGTGGTGGTGGTGGGTGCCTGTGGAAATTTCCGCCATCGCCGCCGACGCCGCCGCCTCGCCCCCCCAGTTTTTGTCACGGCGCCCGCCAGCGAACCGAAGGCTGCTCGGCGAACGCCCGCGCGGCCCAAGAGGGAAAGGAGCAACGGTAGGAGGGACTGGCTCAACGGGGGGGAACGTCGGCCTGGAATCGGCAGCACTCCACAAGGCCTAGAATCAGCGATCCCCCCCAAGGCCTAGAACTGGGCGATACCCCACAAGGCCTGGAATCGGGGGAGACATCGGCCTGGAATCGGCGACCCCCCGTGAGCCCATCCCCCCCTACGGTCAGGAATTTGTGCACAGCGTGTCGCGGCAGCGGCCCCGGCGACACGCCATGCCTTGCGAGTGGCTAGCGTGTCGCCCCGCTTTGTGGACTGGGAAGCCTGGGGGAAGCTCGGGACGTGGGAGCCTGGCGACCGGGAAGGGGGAAGCGTGTCGCGCCCAAGCGCGGTGGGCCAGAACCAGCAGAGCGACACGCCATCCAAAAGCTCCCGACCGCACCGCTGCCCCCGAGAGGGCCCCCTCAGCAGGGAGGCCGTCGGCGGCAGCCGGCGCGTCCGAGCCGAGCGGAGGAGCGGCCGAAGCGCTCACCGCGCGGATGGCCCACGGTGCATTATCGCGGGGCGCTCCGGATGGCGCCGCGGGGCCCGGGCCAGGGTGCACAGGGAGAGCGGGCGGATCGAGGGCCCCTCCCTCCTCCTCCTCCTCCTCCTCCTCCTCCTCCTCCTCCTCCTCCTCCTCCTCCTCCTCCTCCTCCTCCTCCTCCTCCTCTCCTCCTCCTCCTCCTCCTCCTCCTCCCTCCTCCTCCTCCTCCTCCTCCTCCTCCTCCTCCTCCTCCTCCTCCTCCTCCGCCTCCTCCTCCGCCTCCTCCTCCTCCTCCTCCTCCTCCTCCTCCTCCTCGGGCGCGTGAGTGCCGATCCCTTCCCTCGCGCCGCGCTTGCGGCATCCGGAGGCCGTCTGCCAGGGGCCCGGGGCCAGCAAGGAATGGGCCCACGAGGAGAGGCTGCCCCAGGACAGGGGGTCGGGACCGCCCTGGGGCCGCGGGCTGGAGAAAAACCAAAAAAAGAACAAGAACCGCCCAAAAAGACGGAAGTCTGGGATCGAGATTTTTGCCTTGGGTCTTCCGAGGAGGACGGACGTTTGGGGCCCCCTCAGGCTGCATCTGCGACCTCTCGGGCCGCTCCGGGGCCCCGCCCTCTCCTGAGGCCTTTAGGAGAGGGGTGGAGGGGGCGAGAAGCGGGAAGGGACAGGGGAGGGAGGTGGGCGGGGGGGGGACGGGAGGAAGGCAAGCGAGAAGGGGGAGAGGAGGCGAGAGGGATGAGACGGGGGCGGGCCACAACTGAACTCGGCCAGGGAAACAAATCGGCCAGGCTGAACTCGGCAAGCGACACTCGGCCAGGATGAACTCGCCTGGCCGAGTCTCTCCACTGCTGGGCCAGGGAGGGGGAGGACGGGGGAACTGGGTAAGGGGGGCGGGGGCGGGGGAGAGACGAGACGAGACGAGACGAGACGAGACGAGACGAGACGAGACGAGACGAGACGAGACGAGATGACCGTTTCGCCCCGGGCCCGCGGGAACGCGCCTCGAAAGCGACGGCGGCGGGGCCCTGGTGCGAAGGACGCACCAGCAACGCTGGGTTCTCTGGGGCCTCGGGGCTCTAGGAGGCCCTGCACTTGGTGGTGGTGGCCTCCTGGACTGGTGGGCCTACCTTCCACCGCCACCACCAGAGGCAGGAGCGGGAGTGGGGGTCCTACTCCTCCTCTTCGCCCTCCCTCTCCGAATCCTCCACCTCCCTCCCCCCTCCAACTTATGGTGGTGGTGGTGGAAAACAACCCGGTCCCGCTCGGACCGATCGCTGTGGGCGTCGGGGGCGGCCAAGAGGGAGGTGTCCAAGAGGGGGGGGCGCAAATCATGGCCGGCGGCACGTGCGCGGCCCACGGGGGGGCCAGGGACGTATTGAAATAAGAAGAGGCGCCATGAAATCCATGAAAAATCATGGCCCCCCAGATATCCACCCCCCCCAGTCATCACCCCCCTCTTTGCCGCCCCCGACGATCGCTGTGGGCGGCTGCGACCGCCAGAGGGTCGCCGACTCGGGCACGCCTGCCCGCGTCGAAGCAGTAATCACGGCGGCGGTGTTTTTGGATTCCAAAAACTGGTTTCTGAATTCAAAAAACGCGGACTGGCTTTTTTGATTCTAAAAAATTGCATTCAACAACCAGTTTGTTGAATTCACAAAAACAGGTGCCCGGGGGTGAGGTTGGCCGCCGGTTTTCGCTGCACGCCCGGGTGCCCGGGGGTGCCCGGGTGCCCGGGCGTGCAGCCCAATAGCCCTACAGCCCAATAGCCCTATAGCCTATTGTAATATCAAAAAAGACTCTGATTGGAGCTTTTCTCCGGTATCATTTTTGAACAGAAAAAGCCAAGTGGCTGAATTCAAAGAACCAATCTCTTTTCTTCTAATTAAAAAAAGCTCGGCACAGGTTTGGGGCCCAGCAGGGCCTTGGATCCCGCAGGGCACGGAAGCGCCCAGGTTCGGACCCCGGTCCAAAAAGGCGAGGCTCAGGAAGAAAAGTAGATGTGTGCGCGCAAGCGCTAGTTTCACACGTGCTCCCCCCGACGTGGTGATGCTTCGGCGACGCGGGCCCCCGGAGGTCTCGACCTATTCCGCGGGACCGGCTTGTCACCCTGAGTAGTTTTGCTGACGCTCCCCGAGCCCAGACAGGGCCCCAAGTGGCCGAACATTACCGGAAACCTCCCGTCGCATTTTTTTGGCACGATGGGAGGGGTCTGAGTATGGGGAGGGGGAGGGGGGGATGGGATGAACTGGCCTGGGCTGAAATGGAGCGCCCCTGTTGAAAAGGGATGTGCGCGGGCTCCCCGGAAAACCAGCCCACGCCCGAACACGCTCCTCTCGGGAGGTGGGGGGCGGGGGGCGAGGGCCAGAAGAAAGGGGGAAGCGAGAGAGGGAATGAGCAGGGGGGAAGGAGGGATGGAGGAGGGGAGGGAGGAGGAAGCAAGGAGCGAGGAGCAACGAGGGAGGATGGAGGGAGCCAGCAGCGAGGAGTGAGGAGGGAGGGGGAGAGAGAGAGGAGGGAGCAGGAAGCAGGAAGAGAGAAGGGAGGAAGGAGGAGGCGGGGCAGGAGGGAGCGGAGGGGAGGGGAGGAGGCGGGGTGCCAGAGCGGGGCGACGGAACGCGATCGCCACCTTGCGCACAGTTGCGGCGGCGGCGGCCCCCCCTCGCCTTGGAGGAGGGGCGGACACTCAGGGGGCCCTCCCTTTGGGAGACCCCCGAGGGGGAGGGAGACCTGGAAGAAAAAACAGCACCAGCATAGGTGTTCGGAGGTCCGCGCAGACTTCCCTGGAGCGGCGCTGGCCCCCCCCGCCCTCGCACGCGGAGCGCGCCAGGCGTGGCGCCGACGAGCCCCGGGGAGCGCCGCCAGGGAGGCCCAGCGCAGATCTGAGAACTTCGCGCGGGACTCCGAAAAGGCTATGTTTGTGCCGCCGTTTCTCCTCCGGAAGCCGACATCATCCTCCGAGACCTGGGCCACATGTGGGCCAGTGGGCGCTTGGTGGTACTGAATCGGCGCATCCCTGTGGCGTGCAGTGCCGGGCGCCTTCCAAGACAGGCGAACGTGCGTGGCAGACGAGGAGGGCGCGCGAGGGCAGCAGGGAGGGGGAGAAGGGGAGGAGGAGGACCCAGCCCAGAGAAGGAGGAGAAGGAGGAGGATAAGGATAATGAAGGAGGATGGAAGAGGAAGAGGAGGAGGAGGAGGAGGAGGAGGAGGAGGAGGAGGAAGAGAAGGATAATGAAGGATGGCGGAGGAGGAAGAGGAGGAGGGGAGGAGGAGGAGAGGAGGAGGAGGAGGAGGAGAGGAGGAGGAGAGAAGGAAGGGGGGGAGGGTAATGAAGGATAATGAAGGAGGATGAGGAGGAGGAGGAGGAGGAGGAGGAGGAGGAGGAGGAGGAGGAGGAGCAGGAGCAGGAGCAGGAGCAGGAGCAGGAGCAGGAGGAGGAGGAGGAGGGGGAGGGAAAATGGAGGAAGACAATGGAAGTGGAGGAAAGTTTTTTCGCCGCGAAGAGTTCACCCCAGAAAGACAAGGACGAAGCGGCGCCAACTGCCTGCCGCCTCGCCAGCCAAAAACGAAGCCGCCTCGGGGGCGGGACCTTCACACGCCCACGCGCCCCGAAGGCCCCGGCCGCGCGGCGCAACGCGCCCACGCGCTGCCGCGCGGCGACACGGCACCGAACGGCGCCACGGCGCAGCGCGCCCGCGCCGAGCGCCGCCGTGCCCTCGCCGCGCGCCGCGCGCCGCACGGCGGCACGGCTTCTGCCGCGCAGGCGAACGACCGGCCTCACCCGAGTGGGCGGCGAGCCGCGGACGGGGCCCGGGGACCCCGAGCTGGCGGGGACCCCGAGCCGGTGGGGACCCGAGCAGGCAAGGGGACCCCGAGCAAGGGGACAGGAGCAAGGGGACTCCGAGCTGGTGGGGCCCCGAGCAAGGGGGGGGACCCCGAGCAAGGGCACCCGAGCAAGGGGACCGGTGGGGACCCCGAGACTGCTGGGGGACCCCGAGCTCGTGGGGGGAGCCCTGGTCGCCAACCCCCGATCGTCCCCCCGCACGGAGAGGCGCGACCCCGCCCGCCTCCGCCAGCCCTGCGGCCTGGTCCCCGGCTCAACCTGTACCCCGCCGATGCAGGCGGCGCCGACCGCCCCGCCCGCTCCACCAGTGGGGGGTGCCCCAGGCCATCCACGAGTCGTTGGCGGGGACCTGCTATCCAGACAGGAGGGGGCGGAGGAGGAGGAGGAGGAGGAGGAGGAAGAGAATGGGGTAGGAGGAGGAGGAGGACGAAAAAGAGAATGGAGGAGGAGGAGGAGGAAGAGGAGGAGGAGGAGGAGGAGGAGGAGGAGGAGGAGGAGAAGGAGGAGGAGGAGGAAGAGGAGGAGGAGAAGGATCGAGAGCAACAGCGTGAACCTATCAGTGCGCGAGAACCCCCTGGCCCCAGCGCCCGCGCGGACACCCGCGGCGCTCGCGGCCACTGGAGGCCCCAGGATCATCACACGTCGATCCGGATCGAAACTACCTCAGAACAATGGGGTCCAGGGCTGCGGTCGTGATTTTTCACGACGCTGCAGATAATGTTTCGCAGCGTCGGATCTCAGGGTCAGGTGTCTCAAGGAGCACGCGTCCCCCATGGGGCCGAGGGCTCGAGCGGGAAAGAGGCCATCGCTTCACAACCTTTGCGCTGTGTATCCCCCAGTTCCCCGTGTCAGCTCTGCCGAAGCAGGGTCTGCATTTGCCCCCTGGCCGCCCTCCCCCGCATGCTACTTACACTCTCCTCGGGAGCCCAAAAATCGCAGGCTCAAGCATCGCAATCCAATGTTTTCCGCCGTCAACAAAAAACGGTCGAGCGCGCGTCAACCAGGCGCTTCAATGCCTAGCCCTTAGCCCCGATGCCCGTAAACTCGGTCGGAGCTCAACATGTCAACAAGCACTTCGGGCCGCTCGGGGTTCGCCCAGCGAGAGCGTGACAGCAAGCACATCGAAGCGCGGGTCCCCAGGGCGGGCCGCCACCTCCTCGATGAGGGCCCATCAGGACCCGCTGAAAACGGAGCCTTCCAACAGACGCCGAAAAATGTCGAGAACCTCCTCGAACCAGCCCGGACCGATGTCCGAGAAGGTCATATGGCGTTTTTCTGCACTTCTGGTCAGTTCTGGGAGTGCCTGGGGGAGGTCTTAGGAGGCCCCCCCCTTCGAGGAGCTGTCGACCCGCACCAGTGGCGACCCCCTTGGGATTTGAGGGGCAACGACGGGGGGGGAACAGATCAGAGGGGGGCGCCGATTGATGAGCAATAGGTGCCCGATAGCGAATCTGCACGTTCCTGGACGGTGCGAGAGGAGGAGGAGGAGGAGGAGGAGGAGGAGGAGGAGGAGGAGGAGGAGGAATACTGAATACTAAAGCTCCGAGGAGGATGGCGGCTCAACCTGATCACACCAGCAGCTCTAGGCCCTGGCGCGTGCAAAACGTTGCACAAGCTTCGGCGACTTTGCCAGGCCTGAAATCAAACTAACCTGAGGCAGCTTGCTCTTTCAGACGAATTCTCTCGGCGAGGGCAGCCATCCTGGACTCGGAGGTCGGGGGGCCCTCGGACACAGGAGCTCGGGAAACGCGTGTGGTCTCAAGCTCAGGACGCCTCGCAGCACAAGAAACGGACTGCAGAGCTGGGAGGGCAGCGTCAACCTGGCGAGCGAGCCCCGTGTGGGGGCCAACTCCGTTACGCAAATTCACAAGGACCTCAAGCCCCTTCCTGGTGGGGGGCTCGCAAGGTCGTCTTAATTTGTTCCTCCTGGACTGCTGAGCCCAGGCACCGCACTTAGTACACACGTACACTGGGCGGCAGCAACCTGGGCACGCAGGGGACGTACCCCCCTGATTCACAGCAACGAGTGTGACCGAGAGGGGTACGCACAAAAGTGTCAAGATACTCATGCATGCCTCTACAACCTGACAAGGGCTTATCATGCGTGTCATGTGCTATACACAAACACTTACTACATTGCTCACCTATCACTGTGCGACGCCAGTCGTGCCAACGAGTGCGCTGTACATGTGCAGCGCGCCGTGCCACCGTCAGCCGTGCCCAACGCTCCTCACTGTCGAAAAGCGGCAGCACGGCGGCAGCCAAAGAAACAAAACCATTCGCAATGCGCAGCCCTGTCTCCAGCTGCTCATCAAGCTCATGCGGCACGGACTCATGCAGCTGGACCGCGCGCTTGGCGTAGACGTCGGCAACAACGTTGGCGTCGGTGAGACGCTTATCAGAATCAGACAACTCAGCATACTGGTCAGCAGATCGGTGTGCCTTGACGTGCGACACAGACCGAATGTGATGAAACCCAAGCATCTGCTGTCCAAAAAGCTTGACGCAACCATATCGCGCACCAGGCCGCAACTGCTGTTCGGGGCTCTTGGTGGCCTCAATCACAGCGGTCATGTAGTCAGCGAAAACGTCCGTCGGCCTATCCACCACTTGCCCGACGTATGCCAGTGCCAACTGCTCCGCCATGGCTGAACGCTGCGGCAGGGAGCCAGGGACTGCACCGTACATCACACGGAGCGGCTGATTGCCGCTCGGGTCCAGCAACGCGAAGGCCCAGCCAGCACGGCGAGCAGCTGCAAGGAGCGGCACACTACAAGAACCAGCCAAAGCAATCTCAACGGACGGGACGCTGGGGCCAATGATGTTGCAGAGGGTCTCAGGTTCACAATCTGCCCCGTGACCAACAGAATCAAGTAGGTGGACAGTCGTACCGCTATCAAGCGGTGGCAGCAGGCGCTCCTCGTAGGCGACGGCCCCCGTGACGTAGCGCAGATCCCCATCAGCTTCATGACCCTCCTGGATGAACGTCGGGCTGACTCCACTATCGGAACGAGCCACGACAACGTCAGCTCGCGTGCAGGAGTAGAGCCTGTGGTGGACAGTATCAGGCTGCCCGCAACTGCAGAGGCCGTTGGTGTCGTACCCGCGCTCTTGTGCCCGCCGTCGTGTCCACAGTCCCTCACATGCACAAGTACGAATGAGGAACTTCTGATACTTGGTGTACTTTGCCGTGCGCGCGCGGACCGCGCCCTGAATGAGGTCGAACGTGGCTCGAACTCCAGCAGGCAACTCCCATTTGTCAGCTAGCTGACATTCAAGCATCCGCTGCATCGCCGCGCTGAGCAGGTCCTCAACTACGGCTGGAGAGAGCTGGTCCACACGAACCTCTTGGTCCAGATGATCACGCCAGAGGGCACCGCTGTGCGTCGTCCAGCCGACGCGCTCAAGACAAAGAGCCGCTCGCTCCAGTGGCCCGCGTGACTTAGCCCAGCTGAAAGGGCGGCCCAAGAACGTAACAGCAGAATCCCACCAAAGCAAGAGATCTTTCTGCGATACAAGCGCACGCTCAGGACGGGTAATAGCTTCCCACAGCATGCGACTGTACTGAATGACTGGCGCGATAGCCTGTCGGATGGCGGGGCCCCCGTCCAGCGCCAACTTGGCCGTAGCTGACGTACCCCCGTGGTAAGGTTTGACCTGGCGCCCGTAAGCACGGCGAAGATCACCAAGCTCTACATCAGTCAGGCCGTTGACTTCAACTCCGTACGTGCAAGCAGGGCGCGCACCAGTGCGGTAGACCCTGCCAAGGCGAAGGTCCTTCTTCACAAGAAGCGCCTTCTTGTACTTGGATATCTTGCGCATCCGCCTTTTGCGCCGAGCCAGGCGAGCCCGCTGCTTGGCACGAGCTCCTGGGGCCTGACAAGCGCGACCAGCAGAGTAGTCGACGCCTAGGTAGGAGACGACACGCCTGACTGCCGCATCCTCGGAAACATTCAACTGCAGTGCAACTTCTCGCCCAATAGCAGCACTGTAAGCGACGATGGCAAATTTGTCATTGATACGAGACCCCAGCCTCTTGGCCACCTGCTGAAAGTCACGCCCAGCCTGAACGGCAAGCTGGACGACACGCTGCGCATTGGTGCGATGCAGGCCAATCGCCGTGCCGTCAATATAACTGGAAAAAGATGCCAGCGGGTGAAGGCACACGTACCTGTCATACTCCGCCAGCGCGTGAACTTTGATGGCGACGTCGGCAACACCATCACCAGCGGGCACCCCGCGCACTGCAAAGCCTGGAAACTCTCCATGGTGCCGTTGGGACCTA